GGAGCTGAGCTTGCTGTGCCCTCCACAACTAAGATTGAAGGACAACAACTTGGCTGTTCCCCTTCCCCAATTCCCCAACACTGTTCCCCTCCCCCAATTTCCCAATAAAATCTTTTTTAAAAAAGTATACCCCAAAAATTTGCTGCAAAACTTGCAAAAACATATGAGCATGTGAACATATCACGGGGGCCTTCCTGGCCTTGGAGGGCCATGCAAGGGAGGGGCTCTGTGCCTTGGGCTTTGTTAGCTACAGGGAAAAACTGCCTCTAATATGCAAAATGAAGAGGAAGAGGAAAAAATGATTAGAGAAAGAGAGGAAGAGATAAAAGGGGAGCAAAAGGAAAGAGAGGAGAGAGAATAAAACAGGAGAGAATCTAAAGAGATGGGTAGGAAAGAGAGCTCAGGGTGGGTCAGGAATAGGCTGAGGAGGGAGCTGTCTCTGGATGAATGGGCGGTCTGGCCGGCTGTTCCCATCTGGTCACTGGGAGGAGTGGGCCCCCTGCTCTCTCCAGGCCTCTGCACCTCTACCTGTGGACCCTGCAGCCTTCTCCTCCAGCACCACAGCAGCCCTGCCCACATCCTGCCCGTGTGCCTCCTTCCCAGGCCTCTAGTCAGGCTTCCAGACCCACCTGGGAGCTGGATCAGAGCTGGAGCCAGGAAGGCTGAGTAATCATCGTCCAACTAGCCACACCCAGCAGCATTCTTCCCCAGGCAGCTACCTGTTTCTTGGTTCACCACATGAACACCTAGCAAGGAGATGCAAACCTGGGGCCAGATGTTTAGCCTGGCACATAGAAGAACCAAAGCTAGGGAAAGCCTGGTCCAGCGTCACCTACTAGCCTCTCACTGCCCCACTGCTGAGTCCTCCTTAAAAGGAAGGTGCCTACCTGGGTCTTTGCAGCCTGTCCCCTCAAGTCACCTGTTCTGAAATCACAGGCACAAAACTTCCAGTTCTAAAGGCTGCCACCCCACAGTGAGGAAGAGTTGGGGCCGTGTTCGTTCAAGAGGTCCTTCAGACCAGCCTCAGATCTCTGCTGCTCAGAGACTAGTCTAAGGCCATATCACACTGAGCAGCTGAGATCTGGCAAACAATCAGTCAAATCTACCTGATATTGCTCCTGCTCAGATGTCACTGGGGTCTTCCATGGACCATGTCTCCCCAGACTGTGTACAGAGACTTTCAGACAATTGTGTTACATTCAGCCACTTCACATGGCTGGTAGTGGTAGGAGAACCAAGTGCAAGCCCCAAGTCTGCCAAAAACTTGGTGTGATTTGGGGGCCAGTCTCTTCATAAGCCATGGGCTATGATTTCCTCAGCTGCCAAAGGTAAGAAAATACTCCTCATGAAGTTGTTGTGGGGCACATAGATGCATGTTATCAGTGGAAGGGTCAATACACACAAGTCTAACTTGGGCTGGTCCCCAGGGAGGGTCAAGGCTGAGAAATAGAGAAAGATCTGGATTTATCCGGAATATGACACTGATTTACTATGTGATCTTGGGTACTTGGCTTTGTCTCTGGAATTTAGTTTCCTCACGTACAAAAGGAACAAGAGAAGACAGTTGCCCAAATCTCCTTCAGTTCCATGGTTCTGTGGTTCCACAGTCTCGCCTTCACACCCCATGGCCAGGACCAGCTCAGGCCTCAGGATGCAGGAGGATGTGAATCAAAAGTGATCTTGTGAGAAGGGGAGACCTGGGTCGGGGTCATAGCACTAAGGGTGATATTCAAAATGTTAAATAACTGGTGAGGCAGGGGCAAAAAACTCTCAGGTGCGATGCTGGCTGATGCGCTGCATACAAGCCCTGCACAGAACAGCGTCACTCCTGGGGGCCAGGTTTATTTCATCTTAAGGGATGAGAACAATCCAGTTCCACTTAGCAGTAAATTTTGGCATCCCATCCCCAAACTCCTCTAACTTCTCACAACCCCAAACAAAAGCACCCATACAAGTGAGAAGTCACACAACTAGGAGAGAGAGAGCCTTTTGACATCACTGTCAGCCAACACCCAGTAGGGTGGAAGTCATTCAAGGCGGAAATTATTCAGGCGGGAAGGCTTTTGCGACATCTGGGTGTGTCGCCTGTTCTGAGGCAAAGGGCCCATGAATGACTCCAGGTGTGTTCCAGCCCCTAAGATGGTATTGGGTTACAAGATACACAATCATTCCAGTTTGGCAACTTCACCTGTAGGGTTGTTTTAATCGATGTGCCCCACAGTACCCAAATCACTCCTGGAATACAGCAGTGAGCTCACTAAGGGGAGAGGGATACTGGACATGAGGGACCAAGGCCTGCTCTGCACCTAGGCCTCCTCCAGCCAATGCTGCCTGGGGGTCTCTGACCTGCTGGCAAGTCATCCGGGAAGGCCCTCCTCCTGACTTGTGTTGCTGACCTCATCTCCAGGCCATAGAGAAATCAGGGAGATTTCAGAACCAGCATGGTGAGTGTGGGGGCCCTCTGTTCCAAAGACTGGTGGAGGGGGGCAGGTCTCCCCATAAAGGGTCCTTCAGGCAGCCTGAGAATTCATCAGCTGAGAATTTTGTAACACCTTTCAGGTTAAAAAATGATTATACCCGCATCGCCTCCTGCACTCCAGCCCTTGCACCAGCACCAAGGAAGCTGAGACACAAGAGGCCAGGGCTATCCTTCCTGACTATCCCCTCCTAAGTCCTGCCTGCTCTGTTGCCCAGTGTCTCTTGGTCCATTGGCTGGAGGCTAGCACTTTTCCAAGACTAAGGGTCTGTTTTGATGCCATGGTGGCCTCCTGCCACCTTCCTGGAGAAACTGGCTCCTTTTCTTACTAAACAAAACAGTGGAGAACTGCCTCAAGACAATCTACGGTGTCTGTGGAGATCTTCTCTTTGGTCTTGTTTTGGCCCTGCCCTATCTCCTCCTCCTCTGAACACTTGCTGCTTCACTATCTTGAGGCAAAGAGAATGAATCCCATGTTTCGAGGAGGACAACTGAGGACAGGGAGGGGAGAGATAAGTGTGGGTCTGAGGGGGGACCCAGGGAATCTTCCTTCTCCAATCATTGGCCAAGATGCTGTAGCTGCCCGACAACCAACATGAAAGTGAGAGGGGAGAGGAGGGACAGGAAGGAAAGGGGAAGCGTTCTGTCCAAGGAGAAAAGAGGTGACCTGCTGGGGGCCCCTCAAGTGTCCCAGACCAAGCACTTCCCATGGGACACCTCTAAAAAGTCTGGTTCATTTCTAGCCCCAGTGCTGGGGTGCCTGAAGGTCAGAAAGGAGAGAAACTTGCCTGATTCACTCTAAAATCCAACCAGGATTGAAGCTGCAGCTGCCCGTATCCCCATCCAAGGAAGCGCTCAGAAGCCCAGCCTGTGTGCAGAGAAGTTGCATCCCACTGGGGCTCTCAGGGGGGAAGAGGAAGCAGTGCCAGCCTGACTGGCTATGAGCTGCTTCTTGGTGACACTGAGGAAACTGGGTTGCCTCTTGGGGGAATGACATAGTAGTTTCTAGGACAGATACCTGGAGTGCTAACTGTAGAATCAAAAGGTCAAGTGGCCAGCTTCCTTGTTAGCTTATTAGTCTTGAGACTACTCTTTCCGAGGCTCATTTTCTCCCTCTATAAAATAGAAATATTATCTACACCATCCCATGCATGCACACAGGGTTAATGGAAAGATTGAATGGGCCGATGATGTATGTGAACAGGCTCTGTAAACCAGCGGTTCTCAACCTTCCTAATGCCGCGACCCCTTAATACAGTTCCTCATGTTGTGGTGACCCCCAACCATAAAATTATTTTCGTTGCTACTCTATAACTGTAATTTTGCTACTGTTATGAATCGTAATGTAAATATCTTTTTGTTTTCCGATGGTCTTAGGCGACCCCTGTGAAAGGGTCGTTCAACCCCCAAAGGGGTTGTGACCCACAGGTTGAGAACCACTGCGTAAACCATAAGGCCTGTGTAAATGTAAGGACTTATGACTAAAGAGTGATTTGCTTCAGGAAATGACAAGTGGGCAGCATGACCAACCCTGACCCTTCACTGCCCAGAGAAGGATTTGGACATTGCTATATGAGTGAGGGAAGGCAGGTGGGCACACTGTGGTAGAGGAGCCAGGCCTGGGGCCTCAAAGGCAAGACAGCAGCATAGCCAGATCCAGGGTAAGACCAGGGAGCCTCTGGTCCCTAAGGTAGCCATTAAACCACCTGTGCCTAATTACCGTGTCATTTTCCTTTAATGAGGCGAGTACAACCATAGCTCCCAGCCTTGGGGAGAGTTAGAACAACTCATGCCCAGGCCTAGCCCTCCCTTCCCCTTCTCCTCCCTGACTCCTTCCACACCCACAGGCTCCTCCCAGAACAGTCAGAGTCCTGCTGGGTTGCTATTTCTTAAAAAGGTTCTCCCTTGAGCCTATTCAACTGGGTGTGCCCAGTGAGAGCAGGATGTGGGGACGGCTGTGGGTAGAGGTCTGAGCCCAGTCTCCATCCTGGAGGGAAACGTGTCCATTGATACCCAGGCTGCAGCTGAGCTCTGGAGGGAAGCCAGGACACTGTGACTAGCCATCCTGGTCTTGACTCAGCATTGAACAGGAGGCCTCAAACACACCATGAGCCACCGGAGTACAGCGTTAAATGCCCGAATTCAGTCCCAACCCTCTGACTGCTCTGGAGGAAGCATGTCCTCCCTACCCTTTCCTCCCTGCCTTGCCAACTGGTACAGACGGAAGGATTTGCTGGGCTTGCTGGGGCTCAGGAATGTAGCAGGCCAGCCTGCTGGCAGTGGAGCTCTAGGAGCATGGGCAGGGTCCACCTCAGGTAGAGGCAGAGTCCAGGAGCCCACTGAGGCCTGGTGGCACCATCCTGGGCTCTTAGACGACAGACCGAGACCTGGACAGTGAAAAGACCCAAGAGGGTAAGATAAGCAAAGAAAGGCTAGGCCCTGCCTGCTCGCCAGGATCCCTCACTACGGGGAGTGGGGTGAGGCGGGCAGCTATGCTGCTCTGACCCCCAAGTAACTTCATCCTTCCAACCACCCTTTGGCCAGCTATTGGCCAGCCTCCAGATGGCTGAAGGGGGTTGGGAGCAAAATGGCACAATGCCTAGGTTCTGCCCTAAGAATCCAGAGGAAGGACAGCTCCTTAAGCAAAGGATCCTAAGAGAGTGTGACAAGTCCAATATCATAGGTGACACAAGGTACCCGTGGGGCAGAGAACATAGTAAATTCTCTCTGGGGTGGTCAAGGAGTTGTCCCAGGAAAGAGAGTACTTGTGCTGGACCCTGAAGGATGAGCAGGCTCTCTCTAGGCAGAGAAGGCGGGAAGAATATTCCAGGCAGAGGAAACTGTATGTGAACAGCAAGAAAGCCTGGCAGTGGGGAACAAGGGGGAGGGCCACCGCTGAGGTCTGGGTCCGTGGGGTAGTCATGCAGGCCCCTCCACCGATCTCAGATTCAGGGTCCCCACTGTGCACTGGAGCTCAGTGGGGATGGGTCAGGGAAGGGTTCCAGCAGCTGCCAGAGGCTCATGCTTGGGCTGAGCCACCACAACTTGGCCCAGGTCCCCCTTCCCTACCAGGCAGGGCAGCAGGCATCCAGCTCCATTCATTCCTTCCACAAAATGCGCAGTATGCCCCTCTGTGTCTGCACTAGCCTTGCTGGTGAGAGAAAGCAGACATGGGTCCTACGCTCATGGAGCTCAGAGTCTAGAGGGGGTGGGAGCGGGGAGAGACAGACGGTTATTAGACAATCACATAAACTCATGTTTAACGGACAAATGAAATACGTGCTGTGATGAAACACAGGGTGCTGGGAGATCTCTGCCAGGGCATGTGGCCTTGTGGGAAGTCAGGGAAAGCTGAAGGCTGCATAGTAGTGGGAGGGTGGAGAAAAGGGCCATTTCATGTGAAGGTGGAAGCACTACCCCCAGGCCCTCTTCCGTTTCTCAGGGCTTTTCCCTCCTGCCCTTGGGGCCAGTTCTGTACCTGGCTACTGACATGAAGAAGTGGTTTAGAAGTCAGGCCTCCTCCATGCCCCCAAGCGTTTCTTCTCCTCTCAGCCTTCCTTCTGTGCAGCCGAGAAAGCCAGCAGTCACCTGCAGCAAATATCCTTCACTCCCTAGCCTGTCACCATGACAAAGCCTAAGGGCATCTGAGGAGCTGAATGTAGGAAATGAGGAGAGACTAGTCCAGGACAAAGGGGGAATAGGAAAAAGAGACCAAAAACAGGGCTCAGGAACTCTGGAGAAACTTTCCAAAGCCCCAAAGCCAACCCAGGACAGCAGGAGGCAGCAGGAGACCATCGCTGTCAGGACTGAAAACCTGCGCGGGCCTCTCACATTTCCCAGATAGCTCTTCTCGCCTCAGTCTTTTTTCTTGCTCAGATGAAAACATCTGCATCTATAAAATACCTCAAATTCCCAAGCAATGATTGCCCAAAACAGTGAATTCCCCAAAACATAAAAGGCATTCATCTGCCATTTTTTATAAACCTATTGCAACCAGACTGTAACCTTCTTGAGATTAGGGTCTGTGTCTTTTCCATCTTTTAGCCCCAAACCTAGCACAGAATAGGCACCTGATCAATGTTTGTGAATGAATGACAAATGACCAAGACTGAATCCTTATAACCAGCTGCCTGATTTATCTGACACTGAAAACAAGGTTAGTCAAGACAGACAGGAAAAGATGCCAGATTCTATGAGAGGTGTTACCTAAGTGTTTTCATCTCAGGCAGGACTGGGGTGATGGAGGGACAGGCCTGAGCCCGCCTAATACCTGAATGATAGGGAAGAGAGAGAGTGCCAGCAGAGCCAAGGTGGCAATTTCCCTTAACTCCATCTCACAGCCTGAAGCTCTATCATGATTGCAGCAAAGAAATTTGCAAACAAGACCCAAAACCACAACCCCTCTCCCCTACCCCTCCCTCCCAGAGCAGCTTCCAGCTTCTTAGTATAACCCACATGCAACCAGAGACCACACCTGTCCAGGGGTGGGCACATATCCAGGGGTGGCAGATGTGTCTTTGTCACAAAACGTCCTGCACATAGGTCTGGCTGGGCTCTGCCTGCTGGTATGGCTGAGCCCACAAATGCTTTAGGCACTTCCTGCAATCTCAGTTTCTTTCTTTATAATATGTATTCATTCATTCAGCATGTTTTCCCTGTATATATGCAAAGTGCTATATACTGACAAGACACTGTGGGAGATTCAGAGAAAAATACATAAAATCCAAGCTTTCAGTTCCGTATGTTCCATAGATGGAACAGAGGCAGGGTAAATTGCTTCCCCCACACCAGGCACAGCAGGGCACTCAGTCACCCACAGATGTCAACAAGAAGCGGGTAACGCAGCTGAGGCCAGCCCACCTCACCTTCCTCCCACTCCCACCCTGACACGGGACTTCACACATGATCTCACCCCTGATCCCCAGAGAGGAGGACCCTGGCAGGCTGTCGTAGGCAACTATCCTGGTG